GCATCCGTCTTGCTTTTCTCCACTTGCAGCTGCTGCAAAGCAAAACTTCGCACCACTCCAGCCCCTACACAGGAGTCCTTTGTTAACGGGAACCTATGTCAGGTATAAAAACCTATTTCCCCACTTTGCACCCTGCTGTCTTGCTGACTCCCGGAGGGGGAGTCCTGAGCCACAGCAGCCTCAAGCCCACTCCCAAGACCTGCCTGAGCTTCCCCCTTTCCCACCCTCTGGTCAAGAGAAAGGGAAGGAAAAGAAAAACTCAGAAACCCAAAGATTGTTTGGAATTTATTCTCTTAAATAAGAATGTAACATTTGTTAAAAAAATAAATAAATAAAAGCACGACACCTTGGTTTCACAGTAAACGGCAAAAACAAAGTTACACAATTAAATAAAAACTCACAAAGAAACACACCAAGAACTCACAAGAGCACAGGTTAAAAACACGGGCAAAAATAAAGGTTGACAGAAGGTGGGCAGTAGACAGGCAGCAGCGGAGTGTTCCTTGGCACAGCTAATCCTCTCCTGTTGGGCTCTCGTACTGCCGCCGGGAAGCCGGCTGGCTGTCCGCCCCTCCCGCATGCACTCCAAGCTGAATGCCTCGGGAGAAAAGTGAACCCCTTGGTGCCCTGCTCAGACCTTCAAGGCTATGGGGGAACCCCTTCTGGGACGGCCTAAGAATCTTCCAGTGTCCTGCAGAAAAGAGTTGAAGATGCACTAACCACCAAAAGACAGGAGTGAGCTCACACAGCTAACTCAGTGGAGCCAGCGTGCAAGCCAGACAGAAGACGCGTGAGGTGGGTGCCCGGCTCTCTGTGGTGCCCCGGCGGCAGCAGCCACTGCTGTCCTAGTTTGTTCTTGGGGCCATTTCTTGGGGGTGTGTGCTGCTGCTTTTCTGAGATACCCACCCACTCATTTCCTTACAGGCATGCTGCCCTTAGGCTGCTGTGTGTCCTCAAAGCCCTGACCTGGGTACGGCTCCCCAGTGTGAGGCTCCCGTGGTTCTCAGAACCAGAACAAGAAGCTTTAGAAACAGCTTCACAACTATTATTCTTACTGTAATTCAGGGTGCAATATATAAATAAATATCTACCCATTTATGTGCAATTAGATCTATATACATATAAACGTGTACCTAAACATAAACACTCACACATCGCTGTCAACTGTGGCTCCTGGGGTCAGGCGGGAGGTAAGCTGGATTGCAGAATTCCCTTGCTCTACTAAAAGGCTTTCCATAAATGCCTAGAAGGGAAGAGGACTTGGGAAGCAGTAAGACTTCCTAACTTCCCAACTTCCCTCTGTCAGGTGGGAACCCCAGGGTTGAATGAAATTCTACTGCCTGGCTACCCTTCTAACTGGTGTGGGAAAGGCCTGCACTTCCTAAAAGCCCATTCAGGATCTGAACTGTGGAACCTCATGGTTATCAGGAAAGGAGTGTCTGGGGCAGGGGTCAGGCAACTGCCACTTGTGACCTTCATTTTTTAACTCCAGATCATCTTTTTCATAAGATGAGAGGAAACTAACCTGTTTCTCCCCTTCCATCTCTGGCCGGCACTGCCAATGAACCCGGTGATGCGCACTCGGCGGAAAAAGCTCTTCTGTTCCCTTCCGGCTATGCCTTCGGCTGCCCTGCTTCATTTTTGGTTATCGACCATATCAGATAAAAAAAAGATTCCTCTGGACAAAAACGAATTCAAGAAACCTGCAACTAAACTTCTTATGTCCCAGGGGGAAATAATCCCATTTGGGGATTTCCTTTCTCTGCCTATTGTTGTTCAAACTTTTTCTAAAGTCAAGGTGGATAGTATGAGGCCAGGGTAAGAAAATCTGTGCCAGGACCACTAATATGCAGTAGTAAGTATAAGCTTGGAAACAGAGCATTTATAGATTTAAGAACAAAAAAGAGAATTTCTATATTAAAAGCACATTACAAACAAAAATACTGTAAACAATGCCCCCAAACACTAAATTAGGCAGCAGGTACAGATTTGGTTACCAGAGAAAGACAACACTTTAAAGCCGACCTAGTGTGGGTTCTTTGAACTGTGGGTTTAATTGGGTACGGGTGTGTTGTTTTGTTTTTGTTTTGGCAATAGCAAGAATTTTGGCATAGAAAGAAAAAGAACATAAAGGAGAAGAAATGCCACAATATAAAGAGGAGGCACAGAGTAAAAGCACAGCTGGGTCAAACACTGCCCAGTCAAAGCTTTACCAGCCCTGCCTCCTGGGGACGTAGGTCTAGGAATGGTTGAGTTACACACAAGAGAATTGAGGCCTTCATCATGGCCTCTTCCGGTCGAGCACACAGCGGAGGCAGCTACCATGGGTCTGCGCTAATGACTAGTCTCTACCACATACATTCTGGGGCCCTGAAATACTTCAGCTTTCCCTTTTCTTTTTTCTTTTTTTAGATGGAGTCTAGCTCTGTTGTCAGGCTGGAGTGCAATGGTGCGATCCTGGCTCACTGCAACCTCTGCCTCCCTGGTTCAAGAGATTCTCCTGCCTCAGCCTCCTGAAAGGCTGGGACTACAGGTGCATGTCATCACGCCAGCTGATTTTTTGTATTTTTAGTAGAGACGGGGTTTCACCATGTTGGCCAGGATGGTCTCAATCTCCTGACCTCGTGATCCACCCGCCTCGGCCTCCCAAAGTGCTGGGATTATAGACGTGAGCCACCGCGCCCGGCCACACCTGAGCTTTTCTGAAATTTTTCAAAAGGAAGTCTAGTTAAGTCATCAAAGCTTCAGTTTCATATTTAAAAAAGGAAATCTCTATCAAAGGAGAAAAAGGTATCTATTTCACGCCAGCCATAAAATACCGCCCATAATCCTGTTCCTTTCCGACCGAGGCTAGCAGCAGAGGGAGCTCACCGGGAAGGTGCTCCGGACTCTGAGCTGCTGGAGGGTGAGCCCTTCAGCCCTGAGCTTCACTGGCCTTTGCCGCCTAAGCTGGGGGACAGTGCCTGTCATTAACTGTATGGGTCCACACTGTGATTCCTTCGGGACACCACATTGTGAACTCCCGTGCTATACCAAGTCACCTTCTGGCTCAGGATCGAGAGCCACGTGGACCAAGACGTCCTCAGGGCTCTGACTCTTTCTTGGAGGTTTTGTTCTTTAACCACACTGCCAGCTCTCACCCTCTCTCCCCACTACGTAGAACATTCTTCTTCTCTATGGAACCCTTAATTCTTTAGAACTCCCAAAAACCTGAAACCCATTATACTTTCAATTAGACGGCAAGAATGGCAGCCTGAACCAGATGGGAAAGTCAGCAAACCTGGCTTCATTCAGGAATAACCTAAACTTCGTTGTGTTTCATTCTTTTTAAAGAATGTTCTGTACTCCAAACCCAAATGGAAAGTTTAATCTCTTTTGAGTTGTTCTACTGAGTAGTCGGGTTCCTCAGAAAATCCATCTCTGCTGAAACAGGGCCCAGACTAACAAGGTGGCGCTCTCCCCAAACGAATGTACATTCTATAGCATAAGCCGAAGTCTCTGTCTAGACCCCTTTGGTTATTTTCCTCTACCAGTGATTCTGCCCATGCTCTGAGAGTGTCAGCTGCAAAGGCCTATTGGTACTTAAGACAGATTATAAAGATCTTCAAGACTGCAGAAGGTTTAAATGTCATTAATGGTTGAAACACGGCTCTAAAATGTTGGTCCCACCTGCAGGGCACTTAAACAATTTGCTCAGATTATAACAAGGGCACGTTCAGTAGCAGAAGCTGAGTTCACCCGGCTTGGCTGGGCTTTGCTGGGTCTCGGCCTCCAGTTCACTGCTCCCAGGGTGTGCCGCCTGGCCTCTGGGCACTTTTCCCTCTCCCAGAATGAGCACCACAAGGCCTACATGAACCAGCTCTTAGGGAAGGGAAAGGAAGCATCTCTGGAACCTCTCAGTGAGGGCCAAATGGTTAATTTTCTTGTCCCACCACAGGAATTCTATGACCAACTCCTCCACGGTTCCTGGCATTGGCTGACCATCTTCAATTTTTACGAGTTTTGTACATAGCTGCTTGAGATACATGTTTTTTGAACAAGAGGAAAGTGTGACAGACAGAAACACAGCCCTGCTGGCCCCCTCTTACCCCAGTGACCCTGGGCTGTGAACCACCTGGAGCTGCATGTGGGACACTCAGAACACCCAGCAGTTTGTGGAGCTGCGGACGCATCTCACAGGCAAGTTTTACATGGAGCTGAGAGAGGCCATTTTAAGGAAAAAACCTACATAATTCTTCCCAACAGGCCTTGTACCCACAAATCCGGCAAGTCCTGCCATGCTATGACAAGAATAAATGTGTTTTTAGAGGTAGAGATGGTTTTGTTCACCTCCCAACACAAGGAAGTGGTCATGAAAGTGGGACAGGTGAGGGCTGGGACCTCATGAGAAGCCCAGTGGTCACGGAGTCAGGACAGGGCATGCCCCATCACGGTGCAGGGCAGGCAGGAGAGCAGCCACAGCTCATCCAGACACAGTGACACGGAACAGGACGCAGAATCTTAAGTGAAGGTGAATGCAAAGCCAGACCACGGGGCTTAATCAACGCAGCTCCAGGCCGTCAGAGGAGCTTGGAAGCAAACTGCATGAGGGGCCGAGTGGCCTTGGCCTCATCAGGAGTGGTAATGGGAGCAGTGTCTGAGTGCCTGCAAGCTCCTGTCTACCCACACAGGACCAGGGCCGCCCTCATGTGTGATGCTGCAGGACGGGGCTGAGGGATCGCACTTCACGGCTCTGCCGCCCACCGGATGGCCCCCTCACTGGGCCACAGCCTGCCAGTGGAACTCCCCTCCGATTTGCACCAGCACCTCCGACAGGCCATAGAGAAAGGGGACTCCGAACGCAAGCAGCTGGCACATGAAAAAGGAGTCCAGAGGGTTTTGGGCCACTTGATGCCCGAATGAAGAAATGTTGCTTTGGAGGTGCTGGCTCATGCCCTTGGCCTTGTCACAGAGGCCGAGGGAGTGACGCGCCACCCAGCCAAACAAGGAAGTGAGGCTACCTGGGGTTCTCTCAGTCGAGCCGGCCACGGCGTTGGCCCGTCCGTTTGCGTCTGTGGTGGGGCCATCCTGCAGGGGTCCTTTGGCCTCCTAGGAAAGTTCATGAGAAAAACAAGAGTGGCTCTGACTGATGCACTCAAATCCTCAAAGCCCCAGAGGCACTGACAATCTGACAGGCTGGTTTTAAATTTTGTTTATTTATTTTTAAGAGACAAGGCCTTGCTGTCGCCCAGGCTGGAGTGCAGTGGCGTCATCATAGCTCACTGCAGCCCCGACCTCCTGGACTCAGGCAATCCTCCCACCTCAGCCTCCTGAGTCACCGGGAATCAACGTCTAGTTCCACCCAGGTGCACCTCTTCCTGCAAGTCCCTCTGCGGGCAACAGAGGCCCTCAAGGGGGACTGACAGGCAGGCGTGCTGACAAGGTGGCAGCCATGCTGAAGAGACTGCTGGGTTCACCTTGGCAGAGAGAGGTGGAGAAGCCACCCTCATTAAAGAGAGCATAAAAAAGGAAAAAGTTCTCAAATAACTCACAGAATGAGTGAAAGGCCCCGTAGGCATGGCGCCCTCTGGCTGTGGGGAGTGAGGGTGGGGTCACCGAGGAGCAGAGGGATCCTCTGGACAGAGTCTCTCTCCCACTCTGCCCTTCTGGGGGAGGTTTTAATCATGTGGAACATGAGTGGGCATCACCCCAGTGGCAGGGTGTCCTCTCAGGAAGATGTGTGTTGACAAAGGCAGATGTCTACGCAGCTGAGACGGAGAGCTGCATCATCTCCTGGGTCCCACTCGGGCGGCAGGTGGAGCCTTCACCTTAGCGAGGCAACCTCAGATCATCCATGAAAAGCTGGTTCCCTCCCTACCTGGGGTGCCACTGCGTCTCGGGCCCTCCCCACTCCCAGGAGAGGCAAGGCCGCAGGGGTCTTTGCACGTTGGCCGCCCCTGGCCCATAGCCACACTGCTGCAACACCCACTGCTTCTCCCCCACTTACAGGACGGTCACCATTACCTTTCCAGACAGGGGAGCCACCGCTGGTCTCTTCCTTTGTGCGTAGCCAGAGAGTCGATAGCAGTAGTGTGGCTTACAGTAGAATTTACCTGTGGACAGCAAGAGGCAGGGACAGAGGCAATGAGCCAGGCACCGATCCTGAACGTGCCTCCCTGGTCTCAGCCACTCCTTTCCATCTCCTCCAGCCTCAGGAGGCCATCAAGCCACCCAGCCTTCCCTGGGCCCAGCTTTCTGGTTTACTGGGAAGCCAGTTTCTCCCAGTAAACTTTGATTCTAGCCCTCCTCTCCCCTGGCCTGAACGGGGTCTTTTCCTTTGGGAATGTGAAGGCCATTGAGCCATCACCCAATCAGTGCCCAGAGCGAAGATGTGAGGCCTGTGTGGCAGGGCCAGCAAACAAAGTGGCAGTGTGTGAGGAACAAAGATGTGGTCACATGAAACGCTGGGAGTAGCATTGCTGGGGAAAGCAAGAATGAATACAAGTGCGGGGTGCAGGCTGCAGGGGTGGAGGCGTGGAGGCTGCAGGGGTGTGGCATCGCTAGGCATGGGCTCTGACAGGCCCATCTCTGCTGCTCCCCCTCCTGCACCCTATCCCTCACCCCCTCCCAGTCCCCTCAGAGGGTCAGGATCAGCAGGAAAGGACATTAGAAAACAAAAAATACTGCAATGGACTATAAGTAGGATGGAACAGAACAGAACAGAATAGAATAGAATAGAATAGAATAGAATAGAATAGAATAGAATAGAATAGAATAGAACAGAACAGAACAGAACAGAACAGAAACGAAACGAAACGAAACTAGAGTGTACTGTGGCGCGATGAGAATAAAACATTACTTCTTGGAACTTGCAGCTGTGTCTGGATCTCAATGTAATGTGTATCCCCATGGGGAGTGTGGTCAGAAAAATCTGAACAACACTGGACTTGAATTTCCCCATGACTTTGGTAATGGAACTAACCCACAGAGTCATTTTTTTACTCTCACTTAAAGAGCGAAGACTTTTGACTCTCAAGTGATAAACCCTACTATAAAAACTGCTGAAACAGAAGTAATCTCATTTCATTTTCCTCATTTGTAGAGACTGCTTCTTAGACAAATGAGCTTCCCTGATCTCAAAGCTACAAGAGGACCTAAATGTCAAAGAAAATAAGGGTAAGATGGCATTCTTCCCTTTCCTTTTCCCTGATGATCTGATTCTTTCTTCTTTTCCTTCAGAGAAATTGACTTGTTTTACCTGCACTCCCTATCCAATGCTGAATAAATCTATTAGGAAGACACAGATTTTAAATACTTTTCATAATGCCTAGTATACTTTCTCAGAACGATTCACTGGCTACTGGCACTTGGTCAGGATGCAGAGACTCTACAGTGGTGACACCTGACCCTGACGGCCAAACGCCCGCCAATCTTACCGCCTGTTTCTCCACCAGGGGGGTGGAGCCATGGGTTGTCGCCTGGAGCTTGGCCACAACTTCCTTTTCCATCTGAATAAGCCACTCAGCTTTTGTACATGTTGGCTACCAATAATTAGGATAAGATAAGATGTACCGGTGCTTGGATCATGTGCTACTTGTTTTGGTCTGTTTTGTATCTCATTCTTTAAGAAATACCCTTCCCTCCTCCATGAGACTCTGACAGGGGTTGGCAACCACGTGGCCTGAGCTTCCACCACCAGTCACACATGACCCAGGTCACTCAGCGACTCACTCCCTCCACTCCACCCAGGACAGGGTGCTCTGGGGACTGGCATGTGGCTAAAGGCAGGCTCGCTGGAGACGTTATGGGGATGCTGAGGGAGGTGAGGGAAGGGGCAGCCCTTCCCTGAGGACTGCTATCTGGCCGGAAGCTGTAAAGCTAAGGCTGCAACTGTAATCTGCACTGGGTTTCTATTACTTGTAACCAAGAGCATTGCTTCTTACAGTATCAGAAAACTAAAATGCTATCATGGCTTTCATTTCTTCCATTTTTTTCCTACATCAATTTGCTTGTTTTTGCAAAAGTGGAATCCCAGATCTTAAACTCTAACTCAATTGAACTCAACCGAATCCTCCTTGAACCCTGCTCTGGTATCCTCAGCTAATAAAGAAAGGAGGTTTACATTTCAGAAACAAGACCTCCAAGGCTAATCAGAAAGTTCCAGCAACCTGTGTTCTCTAGGAAGGCAGTACAGACGATGCGAGGAACGTGAGCGCTAAGCGTGATCTCAGTTCCAACACCGTCTCAACTGCTCAGCAGCCGTGTGAACTCATCTGTCTTTTGGAACATGTCTCCTCCCATGGAGATGAACACAGTACCCACTTCATAGGTGGAGATATTAAATGAGGTGGCACAAATCACGAGCATCTCCCCATATCCCTTCCCAAACTCAAGACGATGGCACTTTTTGCTTATTTAAAAAAAAAAAGAAGCTAATTTTAATGTTAACATTTGCCAAGTGCCAGACACTACTTTAACTGCTTTCCATCTATCAACTCATTTAATCCTCAAACAAGCCGGTGACGCAGGTGCCATTAGTATCCACCTCTTCCTCAGTGAGGCACAGAAGGCCGAGCGACCTGCCCAGAGTGTCCCCCAGTCAGTGAACCGCAGAGGCGGATGTGGTCCAGGATGCTGGTGCCAGAGCCTGCACTACCACGACACTACCATGCCTGCCTCAGTGGTAAACCCAGCCTTGCTATGTTTTTAAAAATTAGCTACGAATTGTGGGTGATTCAGTCAAGTGACTTGATTCTCAATGGTCCAAATTAAGGATCCTGATAACTGAATACGGGAGTGACTGGAAAAGGGAAATGGAGAAAACAGATGGCCACAGGGCAAACCCAAGGTCAAGTGGGCCGTCCATTCATTCACTCACCCAGGCCTGAGTGCCACTGTATGACAGCCACCGATCTGAACACCGAGAGCCCCAGGCAGGCAGACTTGTTCTCCCGAGACGCATGGGTAAGATGACATAGTGCGAGCCCTGCATGGAGAACCACACGGGCGCACCGGTGCCTGGGCAGCTGCCCTCTTTCAAAAGAGCCAGACCCCTCTCTGAGGAGCGCCACATGGAGATGTGGGCCACGTGCAGCTCACTCTGTGGAGACCAGGGGATGTACTCCAGGAGAGGACACAGCAGAGCCACGTCCTAAGGAGCAGTGGCTTCATTATGCTTATGGGATGGAAAGACACTGGAGCAAAGAGAGCAGCACACTGGGGGCAGCTGACAGCAGAGGCTGGGGCGGACACGCAATGCTCTCTCCACCTGGGACAAAGTTGTGGGCTCTGTCTGCACGGCAGTGGCTAGGACATTGGTGAGATCCAAGTCACACCTTTTAAAATCCCTCCAGTTGCTCTGTGGAAACAGACTGGGGTGTAACAGAGGCAGGCATGGAGACAGTCTCAGGCTCGTCACTGATGAGGGCCACCCTGCACACACCACCTGTGGAAGTGGTGTGTGTCTCTTCTCAAGATGACAGGGAAGGCCTGACACTAATTTAGAGTCCTTGTCTTAAGAGCTGGCAGCGATCACAAACGAGCTAGTGCTTGTTAAAAAAAAAAGCGCAGCTCTGTGTTTGAGCAGACGGCATCCTCGAGAAAGAGCTGAAGACAGAACAAATACCACCACAAGTAAAACACGGGGACGTCTTCAAATATGATTCTTAATTTACTAGTATGGAGTTGGCAGCGGGCCTGGAGTCACAATCCCTGAATCTCTGCCCTAGAATGAATCTTAGGTGTCATTTGGTGCAAGTGAGCTATTACTAGTTGTGTCAACTTGGACAAACAACATGTAAGTTCTCTGAACTCAGCTTCCTGACTTCTGATTACAATAATAAAGAGAGTTACCTAATGGGGTTGTTGTGAGGACAAAGGGCGTGATGAGTTGGGGCCCAGCACAAGGCCTCGGTTACTTCCTCATGCCACAACCTCCCCAGCTTATTCTTTGTTCTCTGAGCCTCTTCAGTTAGACTTCTGAGACACTCGGCAACTTGGATAAAAAACAGGCTAAAACTTCAGTGCCCCTGAAGTTCCTTACTGGCTGTAGTCCATCTGTCCTCTGACAGATGAGGGGGAGGTCTGTGGAGGGGCTAAGCTGATGAAAATTTTAGCTGGGTTAAAATTTGGGGAGCTGGTTTAGAACGGCTGTCTTCTCTGCTCCAGTGTTAAGAATACTGCACTCAATCAGGCTGGCCTCATCCTGTCCTGGCCTCTCGCTGCCACCCGAGGTCCTGCCAGGTGCGCACGTCTGCCCTCTATTCCGCCACCATACCCTTCTCTCTCGAAGTCTAGCCAAGGGTCAGCGAGGTCATTCCAAGCCGCTCTTGAACTTCACAGATTTCCTCCTCCCCGCGCGTCTACAAAGCCACAACCTAGGCTGTGCACCGAGCCGTTTGCTGCACGCACTCGTGTCGCCTGCTACTCCTCATGGGCCCTATCCCCACAGGACCGTGAGCTCCTGGAGGCACACATTACACTTCCGCATCTTTCACAGAAGGCAGCAAAGATGCACACACACCCATGGGCAAAAGTACCCGCAGATCAATCAGCTGTGCCTTGCAGCATCTTTTTTCCGGGCAGACTCCACGGTGAGAGGCTAACTAGAACACCCTGAGCATCAGGGACAGCTGAGCGAGGTTGGGTGGCTCCCTCTGCCAGGCCCCATCCTTGAGATCAAACGCGCTATCCAGAGAGCAGGTGTGTGGGAGAGGTGGAACAGAAGACTTGACAGCAAACCATCTGCCTGCCTTATCTAAACAGCATCCTAATTCTTCCACTCTTCCCCGACTCGGAGTGCTTTTTACCAACACAGTAGAAGGGCCAGGCACCATGCAGGAGTCAGTCTGTCTCGGCTCACCTCTCTGGGCTCCTTCCTTGCTCCTTCTGACAGAGGTGCCCATCTGTTCATCCTCGGGACAGCTGAAGTGACTAGGTCCTAATTGCATGGCATCCCTCTCCTAGATGACATCACTGTATGATCTCACAGCCACGCAATCTTCTATCAATGTCAGGGTCTTTATGCCACCTTATAAAGATTACTGCCTCTCCTATTAATCTAGGCCCCCTCATTACTCTGGAATCTATAAGACTGCCTTCCACGAAGTCCCTGCAGCATCCTATAGGAATGGGGATGGGGGTCATCAATGCAGGGTCCTCAGATGGCGGCCAGCCTGCCTCTGCCCATCATGACGGCTCTATCATCTGTGAGCAGAATTCTCTACTGTTTACCTCAAGGTCTTTTCATTGTAAAAACTGGCACATGTTGCCAAAGACCAGGCCTTGAACACCACAGTAAATCAGATTCAGGCCCTGTGCAATGGTTCACAACCCACCAAAGAGAGATCAGACGGATGCCAGAGAGGCGTTAACATGGGCCACCTTGCAGGCATCTCCAAGAGCAAATGTCTGAGAACCCAGGGGCCTGGGACCCAGTTCCAACTTGCTGTCATCATCAACCTGAGGCAAAATATGTGACTTCTATGGATGTGCAAGTCCCCTTCTGTAAAGTAAAGACGAAAACCTCATCTTGTGTTCCTTTTATCTCAAGTTCACAGCCTGAGGTCAGAACACAAGTAAGTGTCCCTGAAGTCAGGGAAATGACTTGGGTAAACGCATGCCATTCTCATCAGCCTGGTGACGCTGGGAAATATTGATAGTAAGAGTCTTAGAGAAAGAGTGGTGGAGGGAAAGCGGCGAGAAAGGTTGGGAGAGGCACGATGGAAAAGACGCACATGGAAGAAGGCAGAAGGGGCCCGAAGGTGCCCAGCTCAGATGGAAACACTGTCCAAGCCCAGTTTCTCCGTGGGACCTGAGGTGTGGGGTGTCTCACCATCCTCGATGTCGTAGGCGTAGGCCGACAGGCGCAGGGTGGTGGCGCAGTACTCGCACTTGAAGCAGCTCCGGTGGAAGAACTTGCCCTCGGCGCTCAGCCTCTCCATCACGTAGACCCGCTTCTGGCAGAAGTAGCACGTGTCGCTGCCTCCCAGGTTCTGTGGGAACTCCTTCTTCATGGAGCCCTGCAGGTGGCGGTTGGGAGGAAGGGGAGTACCTCAGGGAGTGCCGCACGGGCCCTCCTAGAGGCACAGCCTGGCGAGACAAAGCCAACCCTCGCTAAGTGGTCTGCTTTGAGACAGACTACTGACTGGCTATGGTCAACCGTGCTCTTGGCTCTGCCACAGAGTGACGGCACCACCACGGTCACTGCCTCCACGCGCTGACAAGGAACACTGGGCACAACCGCGAAAGCCCAGGTCAGGCTGCCGCGGACGAGGGAGCCAGCATCACAGTGCCTCACACCAGACTTGAGTAATGCTATGATACAGCCTGGCGACGCTGGGAAATACTGATAAGAAAGAGTCTTAGAGAAACAGCAATGGAGGGAGAGGGGCGAGAAGGGTTGGGAGGGGCATGATGGGAAAGACGCACATGGAAGAAGGCAAGAAGGGGCCTGAGGGTCCCCAGCTCAAATGGAAACGCTGGCAGAGTCCTGTTCTGAGGGTAGCTGTATCTGTATCTATTCAGTGCTGACGTAGTTCATGTGAATATATGTGGGTCCCTGGACTCACACAACTACTGCAGTCTTAGAAATTTGGTTATCAAAATCCAGACAACCTCAAAAGCGATTACTGCATGGCATACACGGGCTACACAAGTTACAAGCGACTCAAGCACACAGGTGTGTTTCCCACGGCTGTGCTGCGTCTAGCTAGACAGTGCCTGGAGATGTCTCTTACCAGTTCCTTCTTGTCTAGAAGGGCTTTGGGTGGTTCTTTCCTCTGAAGCTGATTGGCTATCTGCTCAGCCAATGAGCTCACTCCGCCCGTGTACATCTTTATATACTTCTATTGGTTGAAGGTTACAAAATGACCAGAATGAAGGGAAATGAGAAGGAAAAAAATACATATATTAAGAAGACATGGGAAAAAAAGAAATCTCTGGGAAGTGCAATTTGAATACAAGGTGCAGCAGCAAACCATGCCAACACAGTGCTCACAGGCAGGGAAACCGGGTGGTAAGAAAAACATCGTGTCAGTGTCCACACAGGGGTACCAGCACAGACAGGACCGCTGCAGGGAAAGCGTCTTCCTCGGGAAGAACTGGGTCTCTCCCATCTCTGTGGACTGCACAATTCCAGGCAATAGTGGTAGAAGGCAGGGCGAACGCGCACAGAGACGGGCAGGCAGGGCCTGGGTCCTGCGCAGCTGGGCTGCGTTCACAGAACTCGAGGGGCACCCCCATGCACGCAGCGGTGCCCAGGCTGACGCCGCCTTTCACGGTCCAGGAGGCCATCTCCTCACTCAGAAGGAGCCATGCTCGCTCCTGCACAGGCCGCCTCCGTGTGGGTAGCGGACGTCGCCATCTCTTCCTGCTTCCTGATGCTTGACTCTACAATGCCTGCCACAGGCAGCCAATGCTCCCAGGCTGTTTTGGAAGAAGCCTTCTCAGCCCATTCTCCCTGCTGATGGTATTGGGGGTCTGAGGGCAGCATGATGAGGCCTGTGTGGCCCATCCAGGTGCTGAGGCCAAAGCCTTCTAGACTGGGCTGGGCGTGTTGGCCACGAGGTGTGGCCGTGCAGCCAAGCTGCTCCATCAGCCCAGGGAGGTGGGAATGTGTTCTAGGCCAGGAGGGATTACTTTAGAGGCTGAAGAAAGGTAAGAGAAAAAAAACCAACCAACTCAAGCCTCTTTCTGGCAACACTGAAGAAACCACAAGAGAAACTTCCAGGTCTCCATTGTGAGCCGCTCTGCTCACAGCTAAGCTGGGTGCCCAGGCAGCCCTGCCGTGACCTGTCCTGAGAGGAAGTCCTCTAGAGACTCCCACACCCAGGTCACCCTTCCATGTGGAGATGGCCACGCCACCACGTGGGTGGCACTCCTCCCATGAACTTCATGGAGGAAGGGGGTTCCCTGCCCCCGGGTGTCAGACCCTAATTCTGACTCACAAACTCACCGCGAGCCATTATCCTGGGGATGCCAACAGCCCCCTTAGGGCATGGCCTGAACGGACAGACGCATAAGGCCTCGTGTGAGGAAGAATCACAGAAGCACCGGGCAGGGGGAAGCAGGCGCTTGGGGGACTCACAGATGCACACATGAGGAAGCCGTTCTTGTGGTTCAGCTCAAGGCTCAGCTGAGCTGAAGAAGCAATTATAGTTTTTAATTCAAAAATAAGATTCCCAAGGATTGGTGCCATTTGCCCATTAACTTTACAGATTATACCTATTAGTGGCCAAAACAAACGCGTGGCTCTTAGATCTAAACCTTCTTTAGGCACACTAAGGAAGCTTAGGCTTGGGACCGACAGACACCAGGCAGAGCTGAGCAGATAACTTAATAGCTGACACTGAGGGAGCAGAAAATGGCATTTCTCTCATTCTGCAGCAGACACAGGGGAGGGGAGTGTGGGCCAGATGCCAAGTATGAGGCCAGGACACCAAGCCAGCCCTGGGCCCTCACTGCTTAGCCAGGACCTTTCTCTCCTGAACTAAACCATCAACCTCAGCAGTGACAGTCTGGGGCTGCCTACTCTAAGGCATCTGCCACATTCAGTTCTCAGCAAGTCGGCAACACTGATGAGCATCCCTACAAGATGAGCATCCCTACAAGAGAGGTGAAGGCTCAAGTTCTACTTGTTTCTGGCATGAAAAGTGATGGTTTCCTTCTCACCCCTCTTAAAAAGTAGCAGAAATGTAGCAATTGCAGGATGGATCCCGCTGCACACCACATGTGTGCATATGCTACCATGCACATATGCCGGGAGGTCCGGCGTCAACCCAGGATGGGAAATACCAACAGGAGTGGCAAAGAGATCTTCCAATCTCTCTAGAAACTCCCCACAACTGGACCAGCGCTACTTCAGGTGACAGCCGCGTTCATTCCTCACATGATGACAACAGGCAGCCAGAACACTGCAGGGTTACCCCTCCACTGAGGTGATTTAGTTACACTGCGGTTCCTACTTTGTAACACATACTATTTTGGAAGACACGTGAAGTTAAAAAAGCCAGTGGCCGAAAAACGTTTATTATTATTTGATCTAGTTGAAACAGCATCAAAGCCGGTTCACATCGACAGACCTGGATGTGTCAAATACAGTTGGACGAAAGCCAGCAGCCACTTTAGCTGAGGAGTGTGCCACAGCCCTCACACACCAGACCGACATACGCAGACAGCGACACATGCAGCCGGCTCCCTATAGGAGACAGGCCCAAGTGAGGAGCCCTGCAACCTCCTGGGGCACATGACACTCGCAAAAGTGAAGTGAGTGGAGGCTGCAGAGGGCAGAGTTTTAGTGAGTCCTAGGCCATGCTACCTGTCGGAGGGAGTCAGAGGAGGGAGAGGCGGGGCGGGCAGAGGAGCGGAGACTAAGAGAAAGCTCCCACTGGTCGACAAAAAATCGACGAGGAGGTTCGGGCTCTGGCTATAAAATACAAGATGGAGAAAAACAAAATTAAAGGAAATGTTAAGTCACACACTGACCTCTGAACATAAGATGACTGGCAGTTGTACAGCCTTTTACTCTAGACCTTTATCTAAATGCCATGTGTACTAAAAAAAAGTAGCTCCCAGAAGCATAAGTGGCCCATGCAAGGCTTCCGTTTTGCTTTTATCTGTCCTTCCCTCATGCTTGCAGCAGAGCACGCCCTGGAACGCAGTCCCGCAGCTGTGGGCCACCCAGCACAGCCTCGCCCTCCCTCTGTGTGGGTAAGGAGGGGAGGGAGCGGGGGTCTTGTTGACTCACATGCTCTGTGCTCTGCAGAGAGCAACCCCCGGCCTGAGCTGGGATTTCTCCTGGGCAAAAAGATTCTCCCACCACCCCATCACTCCATTGGCCTTAGAAGTAGCAGGCAGTGGAGACAGCAATCTAGAGTGAAGCTTGCTCCTTCTACAGAAGGGCCAGAAATGCAGCATCCCTTCCTTCCACTAGTGCTCAGAGAGGCTCTCCTTGCCAAGGAGGCAGCTGAATCCCAAGCAAAGATGAGGAGAAAAGGCTTGAGCCCAAGTCCTCTACAGATTGCACATAGCACATGTAACAAAACTGAGCAAGGGTCTTCCTTAGCCGTGGGCCCATGCAGCTAGGAACCCAGTCCCCAGAGAGTGAGGCAGTGACTGAAAGCTTTGGCAACCAGTAACTGCTGAGTTTCCCACCAGGTTCAGAATGAACTATTTACAGGTGGGAAGGACAGCATTAACTCATGGTACGAGGAAGCCCTCTGCTCCTCCAGCTCCAAGCCAGATCGGTCACACTCTCTACCTCAGTCACGTGCACTTCATAGCTCCGTGGAGTGGCAACATGGAGCGGCAGTTACCTGGTACTTCAACAGCCTCTGCTTCAGACACTTCGCCAGCTCCCTGGTCCTGGGCTCAGCAACACAGGCCCCAGAGGGAGCTGGGGAGGATGGCTGTAAGCACCACCCACCAGAAGGAAGCAAGAGGAAGACTCAGTAGCCTCCTGGGGGGCAGAGCGGTCACAGCCAAGGGGAGGAGTGGGGGGCTGGGTAGAGGTGGGCAGAGAGCAGGTGAGTACACATGCAGGGTTATGGAGGACGGCGGCAAAGTCCAAGAAAAGAACTTAAGTCCTCAAAAGTATCCAGTCTGGAGCCCTGCACCGAGGAGTGCAGAAACCAGCTCAGAGGGAAAAAGAGAGAATCATCTCTGCAAACTATTGCCTCCTGAGCTCAAAACCCTACCTCTTCCCCTCTCTGCACAGCAGCCCTAAACTTCAAATTGTTTCTCACTGTCAATCTCTCCTATTCAACATGCTTCCCTCTCTTCTTTTTTTTTTTTTGAGACGGAGTCTCGCTCTGTCGCCCAGGCTGGAGTACAGTGGCGCGATCTCGGCTCACTGCAAGCTCCGCCTCCTGGGTAGACGCCGTTCTCCTGCCTCAGCCTCCCGAGTCGCTGGGACTACAGGCGCCCGCCACCACGCCTGGCTAATTTTTTGTATTTTTAGTAGAGACGGGGTTTCACCATGTTAGCCAGGATGGTCTTGATCTCCTGACTTCGTGATCTGCCA